CACACTACATTCCATATAATGCATAGAATTCAAATGTGATAGCTTAGGTCTAATTAGAATCTAAATTAGATAAACTGAAGTTGAGTTCGCTGTCTCCCTCTTAAATCACAGGTTCAAAACTCAATTGTCTCATATGTGAGCATGTGATACTCCCCTAGATATTTTATTTTATTGTTTTTCTGAAACAAAAAAAGAGATTTAAAAAAGGTTTTTTAGGTTTTGTGGATGACTGGTGTACACGAAGTCAAATACTACTTCGCGTTCAATGAGGAACAGAGATAAGACAATATAGTATAGAATACACAAATGTGGAGAATGTAGGTCCTGAGACGAGAGAGAGAGACGTATATAAGTGTAATATTTGTGTATTTATGGGAAGCTCTACTTTTAACAAGACAAAGGCTTAAAGCTTTATCTTTTCTTGGAAATGAAAGAGAGAGGGAAGAGAGAAAGGCACGCTTGTTTGCAAAAGTCGTAATCTCATGTTCAGCTTCAACTCTGTTACTTCCTCATTTAATACTAGTATATATCTTAATCGTCTGTCATATAGTAATAAATTGTATATGAATACAAACAAAATTACCAAATCAAAACCATATCATTTGCTTTGTATTATTGTCTTTTTTTTTCTTTTGACATGAGACTAGGGCTTCTCTAGTTATTCCTTTTACTAGGGTTTCTATTGTAAAATCAGTACGTCTCCCTAGCTTGCAGAGATTGATTAGTCGTGTCAATTGTACATGTATGTCTACATGTCACAATAAATAGACTTAAAAAATTTGAGTTGTATTTTCGATGAGTGAGACAAATATACGCAGAGTCTGTCTTTATCTTTCCTTCTTCCTAGTCCCTATATAGTCTTTCATGCTTCGTTGCAGGCCTACTTATCTTCTTTCTATGTCGTTTTTAATTTCTTTCTCTTCCCCATTAATTTAATTAAACACTCTTTCTTCGGTTACGTTTAATTTATTACTAAATTATTTGTCATAAATGCAAGAATTTTAATTAAACTTTGATGAACGCAGGTATGCTCCACGTGGCAAGCTGTATCTCGCTCCGACCATCTATGGCAACTCCTCTCTCGCCATGTTTGGGGAATAACACGTCTGATGCATGACACGTGGCGAGACGAGTTTATCTATCGTCATCGTACGACCATGAACTTCCGGACTCGTACTTACGGTTATTTCACACTCCATTTCGATCCTACCGACGTGGACGAGCCCGACAGTCTCTCTTGCCGTTGTCTTACTCTATCCGACCTTTACTTAGCCGCCGGGTTTGCCGACGGAACCGTCCGGCTCTTTCTCTTAAACAACCGTCTCCACGTTCGAACCCTAAGGCCACCTCTTCGAGACCGTTTCGGGAGATTCTCACGAGCGGTCTCAGGCATCGTTATCTCCGACTCAACACTCACTTTTGCCACTATGGACGGAGACATCCACGTGGCGCAAATAGACGGTGCGGGTCACACGCGCACGGCTTACGCCGGAGATATCGTTAACGACGGTGCATTAGTGGATTTCACTGGCTGCGGACGCTGGTGGGTCGGGCTTTTCGCGGGTGTCCCGGGTCGAGCCTTTCACATATGGGACTGCATAAGCGAAGAGACAACGTTCGTTGGTGGTTCCTTGACCGACCCGGAAGCTGTCATGGGTTGGCACTCGTTAACTGAGCTAACAACGTCACTTGGTCGTCTTCGGATCACCGGAGGCGAGACGGCGGTTGCATGCACGAGGTGGAAGATCATGGTGATCGATCTAAGAAACCAAGGAGTGATCATCGGCGAAGACGAAGAGCCAAGGAGAGGCTTGATGGTGACGGCTTTTGACGCAAATGAAGAGGCGTACGTTAGAGTGGACGGAAGAGGTAACGCTAGCGTGCGCAGGGCGGCGACGCAGCAGACGGTGTGCGAGTTCAGAGTGAGCGGAACGGCGCAGAGGAGCGTGATGGGGTGTGTAAATCGACTGCACGCGCTAATGTGCGCAGGAGGAGTGATGCGCGTGTGGGAAGTCGAGAGAGGAGAGTATCTGTATAGTATTAGAGAAAGAGTAGGAGAAGTTGACGCTATGGCCGCCGATGATAGACATGTGGCGGTTGCATCTTCTTCATCAACGGCTCAAAGCACTATACATCTATGGGATTTCGGTGCACTGTAGCGTACCAGATTATTATATAAGTATTGAACTTTTTAGAAAAGAAAACAATTTCTCTGAAAAAGCGAAACCCTAAACCT